CACCCTGGAAGACTAACATGGCACTTGAAAACCACTGGTTGGCAGAGGAAAACAATCTTCCAGGGGGCCATTGTGAGGGTCAAACATGATAACTGCCCCGAACATGAAAATCGAGAAGTCCGCGGTTCCCGCGCTTGTCACCTACCGGTTCTAAGCGGCCGGGGTTCTGATCAGGCTGGATATGGAAACGACCGATATGGAAACCACCGATGTACTGAATCTGTATATTATATAAATGTACCAGTCAGATGCAGACAGGATCTGGATGTGTCTGGGCAACTTCAGTTTCACAAAGAACCTGAAACCTGGAACAGCTTGACAAACTGAACGTAACGGAACCACAATCGCCCATGATGCGCATGGCTGTAATGCACCTCATTCTGTACGGAGATCCCCCGAACACCCATGGGAGTTTAAAAAAGGTAACTAACCAATACACTCACACAAATTGTCAAACTGCAACTTCAGTGGTCTTCTCATTCAATTAAGCTGAGCAAAGCTTATAAGCCCAGCAAGGCGTGAGCAAGCTCTGCACTCTTAAAATCATATGAGTTTGAGTTTAACGAGTTTACCGTACCCTCTAAATGCTCAAGATTGCTGTTCACCGTGGCACGGTGGTACAGAAGGCCTTTGATGGCCTTTATGGTACCTTCGTAAGGTCTCCAATGGACTGGGTGAAGAGGTAGGGAGCGACCCATCGAAACCCAAACAACGCAGTCCGTTGAAACCAAACGACGCAGTCCGTGGCCAAGGTCATGATCATCGAAAAGTGCTTCGAGTCAAAGAACCAAGAAAGAAAGAGCAACACAGTGGAAGGACGGAATAATTTCTGCCTACCTTGCCGTGTTCTTTGAAGATATGTAAAAGGTCAATGATAGGCAAAATGAGGTGTAAATATCCCAGTCCGATGCATTCTTCTTGGGGGAATGAACCAAACTAACAAGGAAAACAGCGACACAAAGCATGCAACACAAGCTTCCACCGCTTCGCCTGAACCGGAACCTCCTCCACATCAAACCCATCTTCGCATCGAGCGCAGCGGCGTAGGCCATGACGGCCCTGGGCCCCGTGAGCGGTGCAGCGGCGGTTGGGGCGTCCAACGAGGCGAGCCATGCGAGCAGCTGGCATCGGTGTAGTCCATCGAATGCATAGATCGGCACATGACGAGCCATGCTGGTTCCCCCCAACCTTTTTGGATGTAGCAACCCCTTGAGGCGAACTATGACGCGCTCTGAAAAAGCTGGTGGCAAAGAAAGACGGGTCGGTGAAGGGTAAATTGGGTGCCTGTGTCAGATAGAGCCTGCGGCGAAGCCACACCACACTTGGAGAGCAGTTTGGGGATGGGGAAACCATCAACAGCAGCTCACGGGCGCTGATTCGCGCTCGCTGGATCTGGCAGTATTCCGAAAACAAACCAATTCTTGAAAGAGTGCAACTTTACAATTCCAAAGTCGAAGTTCTGCACAGGACCAATCTAGACTTTCAGTGATGAGGCAGCATGGTCCTCAAGCCCCTAGTGTCCATCATGAGGATTGGGCCTATAATTTGGGATTCGCGGACTGATGTTTGTCAAATCGCCAAATGCAAAATCAATTCTGGTTGGGATTCTGGAATCAACCGTCTGCATTACGGGAATTGCAGGCAGTGGCTTCATGGTCACATGAGAGCTGAACCCTCCACACTAGCCCGACCCCCCCAACAACCCAGGCCGCCATGCCGCGCGCGCGGGGCGTGTGCGCGTGCCAGCGCAGGCCTGTCCCGCACCGAAGCAATCCTGATTCTCATCCACCTGACAGCTCGCACGGAAGGAACAGTTTCCCGAGTTTGATCCTGTCCCACTGAGGGATGGACTGGCCTGGTGTTGCAAAAAACATCTGGAAACAACTCTACTGGTTG